TCCAACATTGGGAGAGGACAGAAGAAAGTAAACGAGGCATGCACGAAACCGTGTTAAGAAGAGAGATGACAGAATACGGGTGATGAGGCAAATGGAAGAGCTGCTCAACAGTAGACGGTCATTGTCAAAGAAGGGAAAAAGCAAGTGAATTGGAAAGACGCAGCAGTATACATGAGGGTAGCACCTAGCCACCGCCGGTCACCGGGTGGGCGCTAGAACGACGTATCCATACACGAAAAATTCGAGAGCACTGAAAAGAGGATGGTCGTCAGCGGGCCAACGAAATTTTCCGCTTAAGTACCCGGGGCATCCGTGGGAATCACGTCCGGCAGCATCCGATGCTCCTCCTGACTCCTGAGGCTCCTGGCACGTCGTCTGATTAATGCTCGCAAGACTGGCTACTCCGCCTTACTGAGGCTCTTTGAATATCTTTTACTATGCCAGCCGAAATCTGACATTGCTTTGAATTTGCAGCAAGAATAGATTGCCTTTCTTATACAAGTTGTCCCGCCCATCCTCGAACGTCTTCCGCCGCCTCACGCAAGCTGGTGTGATCAAAGACTCGGACGAGGCTACTATGCGCTCCGTTTTACCGTTTCTGTAGAATGTATTATACTGCAACACTGTTACGGTGAACGAAATATATATCGCCGCGCGCACTGTGCTGCTTGTACGACACCTCTTTCTTGCAATTTTCTGTTACTCATCGATATCCATATTTAGATCAATTTGCATGCTTTCACATCCAACGCAATTGCACTGTGTAAATTTGACTGGCGTAACGCGTCGGCAGGTAACCTTGTAATTCTGAACACGTCACAACTTTGCAGAGTCCATACGGTAGAATGGCTTTCTCTCTTACTAAGTCTCGAATCTGAATCCTGAACATTTGGACCCCTTACTGAACGATGTTCGTTTAAAAGCACTCGTCGCTGTATCGGATGTCTCTCATCAACATCATGTCTTCTACCACTCGCACTATCCTCGTTCCGGCGCCACAGGAAAGCAAGGCGGAGCGGCAGTTCGCGCACTCGTGAAACTGAACGAGGCAGCGCCTTCTCCCAAGTACAAGATCCTCGCGCTGACGCGCGACGCGTCGTCCAAAAGGCAGCCCCTCTTGCTTCTCTGCCAAACGTCTCAGTGGTCCAGGGTAATCTTGCAAAGCCTGAGACACTCTTCAACGAGCCTGTCCATGGCTTGTTTCTCATCCAGAACTGGTCTCTCCAGGTATGGACCAAACCCGAGGAAGAGGGGGATGAAGGTTAGATCAATACAAAACATATGCTGCTGACTCTTTGTTAATGCATACTATAGCTAGGGCGTTGATAGACTTTGGTGTGAAGCGTGGCCTTCAGCACGTCGTTTACACTAGCGTGGATTACTGCGGCACCGACGAAAATGCTTTACCCGCGTGCGTTCATCAACGTTAGCAGTAATGCGTTTTGTAGACTGACTCTCTCACTCTCTCTCTCAGCATGGAAGGCAAACGTGCCGTTGAGAGATACCTTCAATCTAACAAGAGTCTCCCGACCTACACAATCATCCGCCCCACCGGCTTTATGGAGAACTTCTACTGGCCCGCCTACCTCCAGCTGGTCTCCAGCAAATGGAATCCTAATATTAAATATAAACTTATCGCGGTCGATGACATCGGGTACACCGTCGCGTCCGCATTTGACGACCCAGCCACCTTTGGCGGGAAAGGCATCGACCTCGCGGGCGACGCGTTGACTCCGGCGGAGACAATCGTGGCCTTTAAAGAGGTGACGGGCACCGTCCTCGACGCGAAGACGCCCCCAGAACTTCCTCCGGATTTCAAGAAAGCGTTTGAGGTCAGTCTCCTTCCGATGCGAAACCTTGTCGGTTTCTAATGCACAACACAGTTCTGGGATGAACACGAGTTTGTGGCTGACCCCGCCGCATGCCGCAAGCTTCTCCCAGGCATTGTAACCCTCCGACAGTGGTTGGAGACGTCGTCGTTCAAGAAGTAAGAAATGGTGATGAGACGAGCATCGTAATTCAATCAGTTCAATGCACCAATATCCAAACATTATTCCGCCGAGAGATGTGTCAATTCTTGTCGTTCGCCAACATGTTAATGAAGTCTGCCAATTTGAATGTTCCAAGATTTAGCTTTGCAGCTGGCCGTCTTGAGAAGAATATCTGAGCCTTGTTTTTCACCTTCGCAGCTTTGGTCACTTAACATGACAATAACCTTAAGCAAGCAAGTCAGGAAGCCTGTCAGAACTCCACCTAGGCCTGAGTTGAATCGAGAGGGGGGCGTAAGCCTTAAGGTGCTCGGTGACATTGGCCAGGTCTGAAGACACAGGTAAAGGTAGCGTCTCCATTCTCAGAGAAGTTGAGAGCAGCAGGATAAAGGAGAGACGGCCGCTACGCCACATCAAGTGTCGCTATCGAAACTCATACTATAGGCCGGTATCGATACCATGAGATATCAGATCTCGATTCACTGCGCCACTCTATCTGTCCAGGCTACAAAAAGTAAAGCTACCGGCACAATCGACGCCAGCAGGATTTGAACCTGCGCCCTCAAAGAGGAACAGATTGTCTGTGATTCGAATCTGTCGCCGTAACCACTTGGCTATAGCGCCGTAGTTAATAGGTCTCACTGAATTATCCGGCCCACATGGAATGCTCAGCTTGTGCCACTTTCAAGATTCGATGCTTCGTTCAAGGACAGAAGACGGTCCTCCTTCACATAGACTTGTAAATGCTTCGTCCCGTGTACTTTTACTCAGCGCCATCCTCATTGAGGTCATTTCAGAATTTTGAGGAATATGTACCATGACCGTGTACATGGTGTTTGTGGTCGGTGTTCCTCGAAAAAAAAAGATCATTGATCTCAACAACAACGGTAAACATGATTCGCGTCTTGATTTCTACCTCCACGGCTACGCTTGAATAGCCAAGTTCAAAGCTGGCGTAGCTGGCCGTAGCTGAGCCGTAGAAATAGTTCGTAGCTAGTTTCGCAGCCAGCCACCTCAGTCACTCCGAGGCATCCGAGAAAGTCCGCAAATTGCCGCGGTATCACGCTCTTGTCACCTCTTACTGATGGTACTACATTTCCTTGAAGATACTGTTCCGGAAGGTAGTAGAGCTTCGGAAGGGATGCTATATACATGCAATCATCTCCTTAGAATGGTTACTTCTGGTGATATATAATTGTTACAGCCAGCGGGAAGGCTTGTCGGGAGGGGCGGCACGGCGGGGTCACATAAGGTCACAGAAATCACAATCTAGTCACATTTAGTCAGCTGTTACTGAGCTTACGAAATATTTCTACGGCCCAGCTACGCCAGCTTTGAACTTGGCTAAATCACTCTGCAAGGGCGTCTTCACACTCAGCAAGTTATTTGCTGAAGCCCGCAGTCATCCACTACCTTCTGATTCTACAAAACTTCTAGCGTCCTGTACTGCACCCTGAACGACTTGCTGAATTGCTTGTACTTAAGGCTAATCACAACAGAGTCATCCTGGCAGGCAAATTCCTCGCTCTCCTAGCACTGGACGATAAGTTGAAAAAAATATCGCAAACACCATTATACGAGTTCCTACTACCCTCAGAAAAGAGACTGATGGCCCCACTTCTCCGCCTGCAATTGCGCCGTCAGACTAGCACCCACCATCTGGCCCGTAAACAGCGCGTTGTTCACAGCCTTGATGGGCGTAACGATATCGCCTGCCGCGAAGACACCCTTCACGCTCGTCGTCCCGAAAGGCTGCGTCGTCTGGATGTCGCCCGCGGGCGTCAACTCCAAGCCCAGCTGTTGCGCAAATGGGCTCTTGAGCTGACACTTGGGCTGGTATGCGAGGAACCCTTCAACAGCGCTCGTCCCGTCCTCAAAGTGGAGGATCACCTGCGCGCCGTCTGGACCTTTCTCGAGGTGTTTAACGCGCCTAGCGTCGACTGCGATGGGACAGGATTTGACCGCATTTTCGTCCGTCAGAGCGGCGGTGATCTCCTTGGTAAGATCTTCTGCGCCATTGGTGTAGATGGTCACTTTGGAAGGAGTGATTTGGGCCGCGTTTCGAGCAACGTGGAGGGCGTGCAATGCTTTCGTGTGCGCTTCGAATGCCAGGACACCAGAAGATGGACTGTGGCGTTCTTCGTAGCCGTCGCAGAAGAGACAGTGGAATCTTTAATAACGGTCAGTCAGTTTCGGTTCCATTGAGACCGTTCTCAGACTCACATTCCTGTTCCCCAGCACTCGTCATATCCAGGAATGTCGGGATAAACATCAATGACGCCCGTGGCCAATACAAGCTTACGTCCCTGCCAGGTCTTTCCCTCAACGTCGACGGCTTCGGATACCGTCTGATTCCCCTCTTGCTGGAGACGCATCACTTTTTCGACCTTGACATCTGCAAATTGTACCGTCGAGTAACGCGCAAGGATGTTTTCACGGGCCTTTGCACGGAAGACCTTTGGGTCTTCGTGGTCGAAACCAAGAACGGCGTGCATATGCTTCGTGCGCTCGTTGCGATAGTCCTTGGAGTCGAACACGACCGAGGTGTGTTGTTGACGCGCCATGGCGAGAGCAGTGGTGAGGCCCGCCGGACCTCCTCCTATGATCAACGCGTCGAAAAGGTTGGAGACCATGATTCTGGAGCTCATCGACTAGAGATGGAAATGTGGAATGAGTATTGTCAGAATTACACTTTCTTGCAGCCTCATTTATACTTTTTGGAATGCATCGGAACGCGACTCGGACACTGTGAGGGTCCTCCTTGCTTAGCAAGCGAAGTTGGGAGTTGTGTGTTCGCTGAATCAGCAACGTGATATGTTCCACGGGATTCAGGTACCCATGCTACCTAAGTATGAAATTGTATGTTCCACCAAGGTCCTATAGCTAGCCTCTGTCAGCGTCTAGGAGTAACGACTGTTGTCGCTGGCCAGCCGCCAGCCCCAGAAATGCGTACGTCTCTGTCTAGAAAATTGAAACGTGGCGCATCAATTGTGGCAACCTGGGATCAAAAAGCGACGCCGGCAGGGTTCGAACCTGCGCCCTCAAAGAGGAACAGATAATGATGATTCAAATCTGTCGCCGTAACCACTTGGCTACAGCGCCTGGTCACTTGACCACGTGTCCGTATCAGAGCACCTAGACATCCGGACTGAAAATTGCCGCGCTCAATTGAAGCTGGTATTCCGGTTGCTGGAAGTCAGTCTCTGCATCATCGAATGGACAGGAAGCCTGCATCCAATGCTTCTATCGCCTAGTCGGTTTCTTCAGGTCCTCGTGTGACGTCACGGTCATCCATCTCTTTTGATCCCGCTTTCACGATCTTTACGCGTCGTCGCAAATAACACGTCCACGTCTGTGCGACAGTGTCAAAAAGAGTTTATTCGACAATCCCGCGATAACTCTTGGACGAAATTGTGATGCACAATCTTCTATCGACACCCTCCATAAATGCCTTAATTATCTACCACCTCATCAACGGAAAAAAGCGGCGCACAGCCAATCTCCTTCCCCTATGTCTCGTGTCCAAATCCATATGCGCCATCGTCGCAAGAGCGCTGTATTCCACGCCCGTCCTCGAGTCCATGCGGGACTTTGACCTCTTCATGCACGCCAAGCGCCACTTTGATTTGGTGGACACGCTCGTGCTGTACACGCCAGTGACCGGCGCCCAAGGAAGGGCTTTATTAGTACAGCTACCCAATCTGACGGTGCTGTACCTGAACTCGCTCAGTCCACTGCAGAGCGATGGCGATCTAAAGCTCTTTTCGCGCCCGGAAGAGTTCCCGTTTCAGCTCGTGCAGCTCTACCTACTCCGGATGCCCTGGGACGCCCTCGTAGCAGCGTTTGTCAAGACCCAGAGACGGTCATTGAAAAAACTACAGGTGGATATGCACAGTCTTCATCCTTTTGGCCAGCTCACGTTCTCCGAGATATCCACTTCCTTCCCCTTCCTCGACCCCGTGTCTTCCTCCGCATCTACAACCCCAGCGGAAGCGATTGATCTTCCCGACCTGCGCCATTTCACCGGCCTAGCCTCTATCCTGCCGATGCTCAACGCGCCTCTAGCGTTCGTTGACCTGAATATCGAAATGAATCCGATGAAGTGCGCATCACTCAAAGTACTTCCTCCGACGGTAAAGCACCTCTCGTTAGCGCGTGTGCCCGACGACCCGGAACTAGGTGAATATATCCTGGAGATTCTGGCATCGCGGTGTAAGAATGTGAAGAGTATTGCTGGGATACCGCTTCCGCCGCAGGACGTACGTCAAGTCCTACATGGTTCACTTTCGTTGTTGATCATGGCGCTATAGAGGTCGAAGATACATCAAGCGCTTCTGAAACTACCTCAGTTGAGGAGTATGGAGTTGCACATCACTCGAGCGTGGAATCCTACTCCAGGACATCAGTGGTTACGCATTCTTGCATCGGAGCTAAGAACGTATAGGCCGACGTTAACGCAAGTGTCTGTTCGTTCTCGTTCCGTGTTCGTACGCTGATCTTTAACAGAGAATGCTACTTCCGGACGCCCAACGTTCCGTATGTGTTCCTGTACGAGAGGGATGCCTGGCACCTTGTATCATCGTAAAAGAACGACAGCAGCTCTAAACGTATGTACTTATGCTTTCAAGTCGTTCGCCTTTTGTTGCATTTCGAGAACAATCTGTATTATTATACTGTAGCACTGCTAAGAAAAGGATCTTGATCGTGCTTGCCTATGGACTAAGCAAACTAGGTAGGCCAAGGTTGAACTGCAGTTTATGAGGAGCACCAGATGAGCGTATTAGATATCAGAAACTAAATCTAACAATCAAGCTGCGACGGTGATCTCCAAACTGCTGGTCTCCGACTGCTTCACTTTCTCTCTGGCCAGACGTCCCTTACCTCTCGCCATCTCCACTTCTGTCCACATTATGCGGGCATCATCCAAGACGCGGAGAGTCCCATCGTACATCTCCAGAAACCTGTCGACCTCGGTATTGAAGTCAAGCTCGTCTGATGCGATTGTTTTCCGAACACCGTCAAAGAACATATCCAAGACGGCCAGGTTATGCATCACAAGGAGAGTATGCGCCGACATCTCATGGGTGTGAAGGAGATGATGTAGATACGCCTTTGTAAAACCGGGTAACGAGGAGGAAGTCTGGTCGGCTTGTAAGGGTTCATCGAGAGACGAATGGAGTATGAGTGTGTCAGGAGACGAAGGAGAACATGACATGCAGGGACATACACGCTCGCCGTCAATGGACGAGTTGTCTAGCAGCGAAAAGTCGTGCGCATAAACATGGTCATAGAGGTTGTGACCCAAATGAAGCTTCTCTGAACGGGTGTCGTCCTTCCTGAAGGCCGGGAAAGTAAAGTCGAGGGCTACCCCAATATCTGCAGCTCGCTGCACCCAATGGGCATCAAACAGATCAATCCCGACATCGCGAATGAGCGCGAGTATCTCATGTGGAGAACTGACGGAATTGATAAGACGCGGTTTGTCTACTGACAAAGGCGACAACGAAGTTTGGAAGAGTGCAGTAAGTTCCTGCGGCGACGGGACAGGCAGGGAGAGTCTAAGAGGGACCATATCAAAGGAATATCCAGCGATCGCCTCGTCCAGTCTCGATAATGGCTTCACCATCTCCGCATCTTTGGCATAGAGTGGCTCCATCAAGGTATCCGCGAACGCTTTCCTAGCGGGAATAACGGTGCCCCCAGCCATGTGCACGAAAACATTAAGAGGATGACGGCCATCTATCGGACGCAAAAGGTTCACGAGCCAGGCACACGAGCGCTCTATGCTTTTGGTAATGCGTTTCTGGGAATATGGGGGTGGAGTGAATGGTATATCGGTCATGGCCATCACGATATCAGGTTTGCATAGCAGGGTATAGGAACGCCATTCATCGGGGGTCACCTGGGACGAAAGGTTTGACATGATAAGAGTAGAAGAAGCAAAGAATAGGACGTACCTTGCGAACGCCACGCACACAGTTGGCTGACAGAAAGTTATTGCCATTAGGTGGTACTTCGCGTCCGTCGTAAGGATCGCGTAAAGACGATGAGATGAGGTGCTTGTCAGGAGAATATCCGAGGAAACGGTGCAGAGGGTGCTCTCCGCCTTGCAGGGTGGGCACTGGAGGTTTGTGCTCTAAGCTGGTATCGATCAAAATGCAAACCAGACTCACCAGTAGCGTTTCTCACTCACAAAGTCTCAAACGGTACATGCACCCAGCGTATCGGCTGAGTTTTTCGGTTGTGATCCCTCGATAGATGAGGCACTACGCCGCGTGATGTAGACACGAGTAAACCTGGCGTCGGAATTGCAATCTGGGAGTCCTCGCTCCGGCTCAGCGTGACTTCGCCTACTCTAGGAGAGAATCGAGAATATGCGGAGGAAAGATTGAACGAAAAGGATCGCGACGCAGGGGGTATTGAGGCCGACATGGTGGTAAAAAGTAAAGAATAACAGCCCCTATCTCTGAATTCCTTCAGAAACTTCTTTGTGTCCGTAAAATGTCAACCCATGGAATTACGAGTTACAGATAAAAAAAACATGGCTGTATGAATTCTAAGAATGTAATCTACACCCTCAATGGAACAGGACTGCCCTGCAGGACGATAAGTTGAAGGGATCTCAAAGGTAGGAGAACACATGCATCCTTAAGACAATATTGGAACCATGGTACAGGCAGATATACTCCAGTTAATCGAATAAGATCAGAGAGCTGTGTCCCGAAGTGCCACATTGATGATTGCCATCTCATCATCGGGGACGATCTCCGAGGGTGTCAATTCCGACGCAGGTCCAACATACTCTTCAGGGAATTCTTATGTTAGATTCAACAGAACGAAACACCCCCATACCTTTGTGTGGCGGAAACAAACTGATATCATTCGCCATCGATGTAAAAGCTGGGTTCAATGTTATTACTGTCATCTTCAACAGGAACCGATCCAGAGCGCGTTTGAGTAAGGTGGACTTGGGCCGAATGAAGTGTGGAAAAGAAAGAGGAATTAGGAAGGCCAAGACCGCACCAGCAGAGCACCCTTCCATCCGCCAGAGCAGACGAGACTGGTCTGTATGCAAATTGACATGGAGAGGGTTGAGAGAGATGTTGGCGAAGGCAGTGGGGGCAGTAGTTTCAGAGATGGTCTTTGCTTCAAAGATGCGAAATGTGAAGCCAGGAATGATAGTGTCAGTTGGAATGAATGAGGTGCCCGTTGCATCTAATTTGCACGGCAATGGAAGGTACTGAGTGGCAATGCAATATTCTATATCAGCGAGGAGGTAGATTTCAAAGCAATCCACAAAGGACTTCGCTTTCTTAGCGGCTTCGGTTTCCGGCGGGTTCGAGCGTAAGTCGTCGAGTATCTATATGATTAACTTGATACCGATTGTTATACGCTCAGGACACACCTTGTCAGCATTGGTTGTCTTTAATCCTGTGATACATTCTTCGAGATATTGAAGGATCTCCGTACAAGGGGTAAAACAGATCGGCGCTGAGGATTCCCAGACATAACCTGCCCTATACGATGAATGACAGCTTGGGCACACTACGCCGTGTCAGCACGCATCGTGCTGTACCAGAGAGAAAAGAATGGCTCACAGAGCATGCAATTGCGAGGACTCGCTCTAGAGAAATCCTGCGGTATCAGGTGCCAGATGAGACCTATATCATCCTAAAAAGTGGAGACCTTGAATGTGTCCGTCCGAGCATAAAACAGCTGACTTGCGCGGAGCCTACCTGTTCAGCATCATCAACTATAGGGCACACTTGCAGCGGAGGCAGACAACAACAGAGAGCGCAACGCCCATCTTGAACCTGGATCGGCTCGCGTGTTGTAGCAAAGAAATCTGAATCATCATACATCTTGAGTTGTTCGTGGTGTTGGGCAAAATAGCGATACTGTTTGCAGGTGTTAGATGCCGAGGTTTACATAGGTTTCGCCGTTTCGGAAATGGTGTGTCTGATCGTCTAGCTGTGGCGGCGCGCCAGGATGGATGCGGATGATGAATTCGGCTTTGACGAGGAACGAGAAATTCGCGGAAACAATGGACCACGTTGACCAAGAAAACATTGCCAGTACGTCAAAGTAATCATAGCGCGCCC